TATATATATATATTGTTAGGTAACTATAACGGTAACCGATATTGAACGCCTGGCTGCAAACTTATTGCCTATAGCTGGAAGAAGAATGATGGCATATCTTTCAAAAACACCTAATCTTTTGGAAGAAATGTCACGATTGAGTCCAGCGCTTACAAGATACTTGGAAAGCCTGGTAAGTGCTGCAATGAAAATATATTATATTTGTCGAATATTATATTTTCGACTTTGCTAACTGTTCAAGTTTTTTTTCCCAGAACGTGCCTGAAATAGTCTATACAAATTGTTCGAATGTCGATACTGTGGAATTAATTCGACGAATATCAGTGCATTTGCCTAAAATTCACTGTAATTATCACATTATGTTGTTAATGTTAGACGCAACATTTATTTATGAAGACAATTAATTTTGGATTTTGTCAACTATATCCTGTGATACTAGGCAGTAGAAAATTGTGTGCATGAAAATAGAAGAATCTTATCAAGCTGTATACAACTTGTATATATTGATACAACGAAACGAAAATAGACTTGAAATTATTGACTTCTATGGAAAGACAATAAATGTTCATACGTAATGATATAAAAGGTAGTGATAAACTGCAAAATCGTAAAAGTAAGCACAAAGTATTACGTACTTTTCAGCATATATTACAGACAATTTAATTGTAAATGGAATTATGAGCGCAATTTCGATACAATCTATAAGCTGCACTCTGTTTCAAGGAGAGCGATGCGTATCTGTATGTACATATAATATTATACTTTATGTTTGCATGTTATTATGGAACATTAACACGTTCCGTGCCTGCGCTGAATTTTTCATTCGAGCCACTTGAGGAGAAATATTTTGACTATAAAAAAATGTAAAATAATTTTGTATATCATTTTATGTGATATATATGATATTATGATATGATGCAATATTGATATGATGACATTAGGTCTTCTTTATAAGATTTTTGTTATTTTTTTATTATGAAATATATGTTATTTAATATTCATCAAGAAATATATGTTTTTAAGAAATTTAATAAATGCAAACAAAAATATCAGATCTACACGGCATAATGGTCAAATCATTTAAAAATAACGCGATACAGAAAGTGTTAATTAACCTCATTCGTAATGCACGTATAATATACATCTAGCGCTTTACGTTTATATCGTACACACACACAGCGCGCGCGCATGCATACGCACACATATAGTATATGTGTGTATAAATTTTTAAGAATCTATACACATTAAGTTGTCATTGAATTTAAATTATAAATATTCTAATTAACATTGTATTTATCGAATGTAACATTTATCTCGGCTATGTATCCTTATAAATAATCCTTATAAATAATCATGTTTTGAAAATTTTTGTAAGAGATGTATAATTTGTTAAAAATACATTTAAAAAATATTGTGTTTCGATCAAATCGTACGTAAAGAGTCAAGTAAAATATTTTGTACAATTATCGCACAACTGTTCCAGATGTTACGGAATTTTTGAGCATATCTTATATCACATGTAAATCAAATTAGTGTGCATTAATATAGAATTTAAACGTACATGTTCAACTGTGCGATATATTCTTAAAAACGAATCATGAAACCTTGATATTGCTGCTTTGTAACAGTTTCCCAATTTGTAAACTCGCAGTGATGTATCTCACTACCTGGACTGCCCACTGATGTCAACCACTGTGCCCTGGGAATAAGATTTATTATTTTACACGTTATATTAAAGATATATATTAAAGATATATTGTAAATGCTGTTTTGCTAATAAAGAGCAAAATTGTCGTTTTTTTTTTAATGTGAAACAGACGTGTGTTTTTGTATGGAGTATAAATACAAGCAGCAAATATAAGGTCTGTAGCTGAACTACATTTGGAACTTAAAATAAAACAGATATATCTGTATTTAATGTTTGGTGCAAGCGAAAAATAACGTTCGAATATTGCAGTCTAGTATAGCAATAAAAAAAAGATATACGATTGATAGATGAAAAATTGAATTATAATCGATTTCAAGTATAAGAAGGCCATGCAAATGTTTGGTGTGTTGCCAAGTGCGTCATTGACATCGTTATTTGTCGTTACCGAACAACGCCACAACCATAAAGTGCGCGTTCTGTATACGAATGCTTGACATGCTCAGAAATTATAATTGGCGACTAATCGGACCGAGTGCAAAGCTGTCGAAGTGAACTCTTAGTGATTTTGGTTGATATATTACACAGAGAAGAGGAAGAATGTGTGAGATGGCTGTTATCTTAATGACAATTGTCTCTCATTGTTGTCTATGTAGTATTAAATTCTTTATTAATATCATATATAATGAACGCTGCAACTTGATTAGCATTGAATGTAAACATTTTTTGAATAATAATTTTAACGCATAACGCAACTGCAGTTTATGTGATTGACGATCGAAGAAATGAATCAGCACTTAATTCCTGATCTAACTCATTTTGAGTTATTTTAATTTTTCATCTTAGTGTAATTCGACAAGCATTTCCTCATTTCTTTGTTTTTTAGTCTTGATGATTCTTCTTCCAAGAGAGGAAATGCATTCTATTTTGCTCTCTTGCAGAATCATAACACATATATGCGCACATGTATTTGTTATTTACAATAAACTTAAGGCTCGATTAGCTAGCTTCCATTATCTCGGGATTTTTTTAGGAACCTTGAAACTATTTGTTATCTTGTGTAAAATGGTGTACTTTGTACTCTTCCAATGTCGACGTACCGATGCATAGATGCGAGATGTGGCAATCGTCGACGAAGGAAAGAGGTGATACACGTCGCAGCGTCATTATTTCATTAAATCATTATTAAAGTCAGTTTTCGACATATCGCTTGATGTATGGCAATTGTTAGTCAAGGCTATGTACGATTAAGAAACCGCGCAAACCATGTAACGCAAATGTCGTCGTCGTCGTCGTCATCGTATACAAGTAACGTAATAAATAAACCGAAGGCTCTTTTCTCTAATTAAAAATATATTTTTCACTATTTCAGTTCGGTAAAGTGGACAGATTTCATTTTACAAGACTTACATCTGATCGACAAGCGCTCGAGGTCCTTGCATCTTTCCAAGGATCGTGCCAGTTTTACTATTTTTCACCCAACCACAGATTTTCAATTGCAAGCATATATCCTTCACATACTTTGGAAAATATACACCTGCAATTTCATTGAAGAATCTTTCATCTTAAGATAATTAAGTTATCAAGATTATTTTAAGTATACATATAAAATTAAGTGTGTCACGAGTGGAAAGAAAAAAAAATAATTGAATGCTACATTTCACGATTTGACTGAATTTGACAATTGTCAATTGTGATGAAATTGGACCATCGTGTACATATTATAGGGAAATATGTGCAGAGATTGAGAAGCGATAATTTAAAAAGTGTTAAAGTACTAGGTATTCACATCTATCTAGTTATCTATACGTAAAAGATCGAAATAGCAATTTGCTACAAGGGATATATCAATTAAACAACGATGAAATGATACAGACTGCAAATCTAACTTAGACATCAATTTGTCATGACAATAAAATAGTAAGCGAGACTGCATGATGAGTATTATATCCTGACGGGCGGCGCATTCTAGTTAAGGATAAGGTATTCGATAGTACTTATTCACCCTGCACTTTTCCAAAAACTTCAAACTCGACGGATATTAAAGGTTCCCGGCAGAGGGGATCATCCACCGCCTGCATCCCGTTCGAGATTAAATGAGACGGCAAAATTCGCGTTGATAATTCTAGTGTGTCGAAAGTAGATAGAATGCGCACAAAGAGCTGATATACACTGCAGCTGGATTAATCCGCAGTCACCAGGTCACAGGTGTATGTACGTTGAACAGATTCTGCACCAATCGGACACTCGTTCTCGTTCTAAAGTGGATGCTTCAACTTTTTAGCTTCACGGCTCGCCTTGCTAATAGCTAACTAATTCTTATTACGCGCCGCCGCAATAAGTCTCCAAATAGATTTCTCTCTTCACCCCACTACTGACATTGATCCAAACTCGATCGATCCTTTGCTGCTGATCTATTCTTATATTAATCGAACGGAAAAAAAATGAACCTATTGCTCCATATTCAATATGCGACTTTGTGTCGTGTATGTCGTGGAAATAATTATATAAGTACTTTAAGTATAAATTTAAGAAAGTTGCGTATGTACACTCGTTGTATGTAGATATGTATATATATATATATATATATAT